GCCCGTGAGCCTGCGGGAAGTCGTGCGCTACCTCGGGGGCAGCGGCGGCGCCGGCGGCCGCCTAACCCGCGGCCGCGTGCAGGGGCTGCTAGAGGAGGAGGCGGCGGCGCGGGGCCGCCTGGAGCGCACCCGCCTCGGAGCGCTCGCGCTGCCCCGCGGGGACAGGCCCGGGCGGGCACCATTGGCTGCCAGCGTCCGCGCGTCGCGGAGCAAGGTGAGCGCGCCGCGGAGGGGGGCGCCGCGCGGTGGGCAGGTGCGGGCGAAGTTGGTAGCGGGGCGCGAATCCCGGGAGGAACCGGGCCGCAGGCGGCCGGGGCTTTGCGCTTCTTCCCGGCGGGCTGGGCGGGTGGTGACCTTGGCAAGTGACTTGATCTTCCCCAGCCTCAGTTTCCTCTGCTGTAAAACGCGACTTAATAACAGTAGCGACTCCTTGGGGTTGTTGAGCGAGTTTAATGAGATTTGGCTACTGAGGGCTTTATTAACACAGAGCCTGGCATGGAGTGAATGTGTAAAAGTTAGTCCGTGTTGATATTAAAGGTGGTAGTGAGGCACACCACTTGGTCCTGGATCCCAGGGATCGGGCCCAGGGCCAGAGCAGCTACTAACCTTGCGTGCCTGTGTCCCTTGCACCAGAGAGGTGGGGAAGAGCGAGTGCTTGAGAAGGAAGAGGAGGATGAGGATGGTGAAGATGAGGATGATGAAGACGAAGTGTCTGAGGGCTCCGAGGTGCCCGAGGGTGACCGTCCTGCAGGTGCCCAGCACCAGCAGCTTAATGGCGAGCGAGGCCCTCAGAGTGCCAAGGAGAGGATCAAGGAGTGGACACCCTGTGGACCCCACCAGGGCCAGGATGAAGGGCGGGGGCCAGCACCAGGCAGTGGTACCCGACAGGTGTTCTCCATGGCTGCCATGAATAAGGAAGGGGGATCAGGTAAGGACCCCGCTGGGTTGGGGAGGGTGCCTGGTGGGAAGGAACCGAGCCCCAAGACAAAACCACAGGCATATGCTTTTTATTTCCCAGCCTCTGCTGCCACTGGGCCAGACTCCCCATCCCCCGTGCCTTTGCCCCCAGGAAAACCAGCCCTACCTGGGGCTGATGGGACTCCCTTTGGCTGTCCGTAAGTTGGGGTGTGTGAGACACAGGGGTGCCGCCCAGGTGTGTATCACAGAACCAGAGGAGCATCACTGCTCACTGGTTCCCTTTGTTCCAACACAGTTCTGGGCGCAAGGAGAAGCCGGCTGATCCTGTGGAGTGGACAGTGACAGATGTGGTAGAGTATTTCACCGAGGCCGGCTTCCCCGAGCAGGCAACAGCTTTCCAAGAGCAGGTGAGTTCCTGACCCTCAGCTTAGCCCCAGCGTTCCAGGGCCTTAGTGGGGGTGTGTGCTCTGACCCTGCTCGCTTGCGCTCTCTCTCTCTCTCTCTCTCTCTCTCTCTCTCTCTCTCTCTCTCTCTCTCTCTCTCCCTCCCACCCAGGAAATCGACGGCAAGTCTTTGCTGCTCATGCAGCGCACAGATGTGCTGACCGGCCTGTCCATCCGCCTCGGCCCAGCCCTGAAAATCTACGAGCACCACATCAAGGTGCTGCAGCAAGGCCACTTTGAGGATGACGACCCCGATGGCTTTCTAGGCTGAGCGCCAAGCCTCACCCCTGCCCCAACCCATTCCAGTCCCCATCTTACCCAAGACCCCCAGAGTCCGGGAGCTGGTCGGGGACACCCTCAGCCCTCATAACAGATTCCAGTGAGGGGACATTCCTACTCATCTTTTCCCTGTGTCTCCCCAACACACACACCTCTGGCCCCCAGCACATCCTGTACTCCATGATAGAGGAGTGTCAGGTGGGACAGGGCCTACTCATTTCATCCCAGGAGGCCAACCCTTCCCCTCACCCAGTCTAGGACATTTTTGGAAAAGTAAAATGGGGGCTTCCCATCTTCCCTAGATCCTCTTCAGTTCAGCCAGATGTTTCCTATATAAATGTTTTATTCTGTCTGTTCATTTTGGTGGGTGGCCGTTCCTCCCTCCCCCACCACCCAGGCCCCTTCCCAGTCTGTCCCTGGCCTCCAGCCCCTGGGAGCAGCTGGGAGGGGGACCCTGGATCTTCCTTACCCCTCTCATTTCTTTCTGTTCATTGTCGCTCCAGCTGGCTGTATTGCTTTTTAATATTGCACCGAAGGTTTTTTAAATAAAATTTTAAAAAAAGAGAGACGAAAAACATGCCACGGCGTCCATTTTATGAATGTAGTCGGGGACATGAAGATCCACACCAGCCTCCTGGGAGTCTTGGGTTAGGACAGAATTGTTTGAGGAGGGAGACAGGTAGTGAATGGGGCTGCCCCACAGCCAGCTAACTGCTCCAGGAGGACAGGAATATTTGCTTCTTCTGCCATCTCCCCATTCCCAGAACAGCGCCTGGGCACACAGTAGGTGCTCAAATATTTGTTAAGTGACTAGCAGTTAACTCTAGGCTTTACAGGCATTCTCTGGGTTCTCACCACAGCCCCATGAGGCAGGGCTCGTGAAAAAATCCACTTTACAGATGTGGCAACTGGCTCATCACAGCAAAGATGCTTGCTCAGGGTCACACAGGGTGCAGCCTGACACCTGTCTGAGTTCTTTACGCAGAGTCTTTAAGTATAATTAATGTGTTTGGCTTCATAGCTCTATTATCTGACAACCTTTGCATGTTACAAAGAATCCAGCCTACAACTGTTGCGGGCAGGGATCTGTTTTGGGCCCATGGTAGGGTCTCCAGGCCTCCTGGCCCTCTCCATAAAAGGGGCAGAAAGGACTGGGGCCATCAGATGAGATCATGGGATGGGAAAATTTTTCCAAGTGAAAATTTTTATTATTGTTAGTAACAACCACTACATCACAAGTGCTACTAAGTTCTAATGCAGTTTCTCAACTCCATTAGTTTTTTTAAAAAATATACAGATTCCGTGTCCTGGGAGTCAGAGACTCAGCGAGTGGGGCGGGGCCGTCCTCGTTTTCTATACCTGCAACCCTGGGGTTTGGACGCTCGGTAGAGACCCCTCCTCCCTAGGAAACCGCCTCAGAGAGTCAAGTACGCTGGCCCCAGGCCGCACCCCCAGGACACTGCCGCGCCAGCAGCGGCCCAGGTCGCCTCCCCCGGCGCGTACCCCACGGCCAGGTTCCGGGAGCGCGCGTGTGCGCGAGGCGCCGGCCGCGCAGCGCGAGGCGGAACGGCTCGCCCCTCCTGCGTGTTGAAATTCAAATGAAGTGAACTCCCTCCACGCAGCGCCGGCAGAGAGGTCGAGGCCCCGGGTGAGATGGAGGGGGACGCGCTCCCAGCCAAGTCCGAGGTACCCTGGGCGGGGTCGAACCTGCGGCCAATGTGAGCAGCGGAGGCTTAAAGAGCTCTGGTCCCCGCCTCCAGCCGCACGATGGCAACCAGGCAGTGGTTCTTGGGGCCGCTCCCCGCGGGCCCTGGGGAAACGCCGCTCCCGGACGACTTGGAACCTGGGGTACAGCCCTGCGAAAACCCCTCATGGTCGCCTCCCACTGGCCGACCTGGGGACTCACCCCAGGCGGAGCCCGAGGATATTCAGGGGCAGCTGCCCAAGGCCTCTACCTCTACGCCTTTCCCTGAGCCTCTGGCTCCAAGCCCCGGGCCCGCCCCTCCTCGCCTACCCTTGGACACCATGTTCAGCCCCATCAGCGAACAGCTCCGTTACCTGATCAAGAAGGCAGATGATTTCCAGAGCTACTTGCTCTACAGGTGATGTTGGACGGGGTCCTAGGTTCTACCCATGGATAAGGAGACGGAGAAGGGGATAACAAAATAGGTGACACACACTAGATTTGCAAACTCAGAAGCATTAGGAGCCAGAGGAGGTAAATGAAGCTAGCTGATTAGCAATCCAATTTCGAAGAGTTATGAGGACTGTGGAGAAATTTGGGGTTAGGGAGTGCGGGCTATTATGTGGGCCCTTGGGGTTGCCAAATCGCTAGAACTCTTATCCCACTTTGTAACCATTGGCTTAGGATTTGAACCCTGGGCAGGCTAAACAAAACCTATCTGAGCAAGATTTGGCCTACTGGCTACCAGTTTGAGGCCTCAAAGGATAATATGATTCCCAGACCAAGGGAAAGGGGACTGTGATTCTCATATATCAATGTCCATGGGAATCCCCTGGGAGGTTGTTTAAACCCTATAGATTTCTGGGCTTCACCCAGGGAATAGTAAGTCAAAGTCAGTCTTGGGACTCAGGTGTCTGCATTTTAACAAGTGTTTCAAATGTTTTTGATGCTGGTGGTCCCGGAAGATGCTCTGAGAAAGGCCTGACACTGGGGGATTTGGTTTGTAGTGGGGGTCCGGGTCAGGGATACAGGTGGGCAGTGAGTGGAATGGGAGAAATTGGTGGGGGAGCCAGGGACCTCAGGCAAAGGCCCCCTTCTCCCTTCAACAGGGACCGAGTGCAGAAGGAACAGCTGGCGAAGGCCATGCCCACCTTCTTGCAGATGTGTGAGCCCTACTTCCTGTACCTGGAGGCAGCTGCACGGAGTGTGCCCCCCATCTTTGGAGCCCTGCAGGAGCTGATCCGAAAGAGGGTGTGTGGAGCAGGTTTCCTAGACCCTATGCCCCTTTCTTCATCCCTCAGGCCTGGGAGATGGGGAGGACGCTCATGGCAGGCCAGCTAATCACATTATGCCCCCTCTTCCATGCAGCTGTTGGAGATCTCCCAACAGCTGACTCTGCGCCTGGAACAGCTGGTCCTTATGTATGCATCATTTGGGTTTGTGAACCTGGAGGAGACTGACCCCCTAAGGTAAAAGGTTAGGAGACTGGGATTGGGGTCAGGGGTGGAGGAGTCCAGGGCATACCCTCATTCCCCACTCTCCCATCTCCTGCCAGCATCTCCTGTTTCTTCTGCGGGAGGTTCTCCATCAGTCCTTCCCACGAGGTGTCCATCTTTAGATACTGTACCCCTGCCGCCTACACCGCCAGCCGCTTCCCCCGATACCTCTATAAGAAGATGCGCTGGAACCTGGAAACCACCCCAGAGTCCAGCAGCCAGGGGCAAGATTCCCGTGTGGATTAGTGAGTCCCCTTATGAGAATCAAAGTCCCCCCCTCTCTATGGAGAATGCCAGTTTGGGCCACTGAACCACCACCATCAAAGCATGGAAAGCCAAGCAGGAAATCAAGGACCTTTGAAAGGTCATCCCCACCTTTAAAAATATATATATGCCCCCATCAAAATAAAAGCCCTCATCTTAAAAGTAGGCTGACAGTGAGAAAAAGCCTCAGTATTGAATCATATCCCTACCTGAGAACTTGAAGGCAACTTCTGATGAGTTTCCACCTTACCTCCAAAATTAAAACCCTCCAACAGAAGTTAGGAAACTGCTCACATTTAATTGCTGCCCCTTCCCCTCCCAGCTACTTCCTGTGCTATAGAGATACATGGGAAGACACAGGCAAGAGTCCAACCAACTCTTGCCCCCAGATTCAGAAGCTGTGGTCCATCGGCCGATGGGTGCCCCTAGGACCAGCTGAGGATGACCTTTATTCATGGTAGGAGCTAGGGCTATGGCAAGGTGGGCGTGGGGTCTGGAGGGAGGGGCAGCACCCAAACAAACACCATCTACCTCCCCCAACACTGTTTCCATTGGTAATAACGATAGCATTTTATTGTGCCCTGAAAAGCGCTTTATGCAGACTCGTGTAACAACCCACTGAGGTCTGTACTACTAGCCCCACTTTACAAAGAAGGAAACAGGTGCTCAGAGAGGATAAATTACCTGCCCAAGGACACACAGCTAGCTGAGTAATTGGCCAGGTCAGGGCCAGAGTTGTTCAGCCTCCCAGAGCCATTACCCTCTCTGTTTCTCATCTACAAGAAAATCACTTTCCCCCAGGGTTTTTCCCACCCCTAGCTGAAACAAAGCCTCTCTCAGCCACAGCCTCTCACTCAAGGGGAGGGGCTCCCGAGTAGCAGGGGGCGCTCACATCCAGGCCTGTCTCTCCCCGGCCCCCAGGATTTTGTCCCCGCAGCCTCCTGGGGACTACGAGCAGCTGCTGACCATCGGCTTCGAGGAGCCGTCGCACATGCTGGCCACCGACCTGCTGGTGCAGATCCTCACGGGCCAGGCAGGCACGGCCCGGCCCCCGAGCGCCGCGCAGGAGTCTTGAACCTGGAGAGAGGGTGGGAGCTGGAGCTTGACAGTTCCAAACTCCAGGAGAGGGAGTAGTGGAGGGGCTCACTCGTTCTCCTAGTGCAGCTCCGCCTCGCCTTCCAAGGGGCCAGGCCGAGCTAGCCCGTCCGCACTGGGTCCGGCCCGGCCGCGGGGCCCTGCGGGTGGACACACCGGTTTTATGTTAAATAAAAGAAAGAAAGAGGTCACAGGCTCAGCGTCCGTTCGGATCGCCGCTCCCCTCCCCTTGGGGAGAGGGGGCCCGCCCACTCGCGCGGCCTTCTGGGAAATGCAGTCTCTGGAAACAAAACCATAGTCCACCGACAGGCGGACGGAAGCTTAGAGCATGCGCAGAGGCGCGCATGAAGCAAAAAGGGAAGTAGCTGCTCCCGTCAACAACCGGAACCCAGAAAACCTCAAGTTTTGGGTAGCCGGGAAATTCAACGCCCACTGTGGGAAGGGACGCAGAGCCACGCCCACTCTTATGTTTTGACCCGGAAATTATTTTCCTGTACCGAAAAAGACTATATTTCCCAACGTGCCCCGGGAAAGGGCCAGCCGTCAGTTTCCTAAGAGCCGAGGTTACATCTTTTCTTCCAGCTTTTCGGTCTTGTCTTGTGCAGGTCGCTGTACCCCCTGGGGTGTCCGGG